CGCGAGTCCGGGCAAGCCGCGCGCACCGCCCCCCTCGGCACCACCGACTGAACCGCTCCCGCCGATTCCCAACACGCCGTGCGTGGGCAGCAAGAGTCCGCATCCGCTCCAGCGCAGTGGGTCCTGGGGGCAGGAGGCGGGTGGTGAGGATTCGGACCCGGACCCGCTCAATACGCCCAAGGGCGTGCGATCGCCCGAGACCGCCCAGGCTGCACTCGAACGCACCGACAATGCCCGAGCAGAGACGGCGGTGGTGGATCGCTCGGAGGATAGGATTGACCGCACTTCGACCGAGCACGAGCCGAAAGTGTCGATGGAGGGTGCGGGTGCGGCGACGGTCGCCGTCGCACAGGTGGCTACGAGGGTGTCGCCTCAGCCCGTGCGGAGGCCGTCGAAGGCGGGCGGAAGCGGTGCGGCGCAGGCGCTGCAGGACGCGACTGGCTCGAGCTCAATCGTACAGGCCACCGCCGCAGCCACACCTTCGGCCAGCACTCCAACACCAGCAGAGCAAGAGGAAATCGTGGCCCACGACGCCGCTTCTGTCGTTGATGCCGGCATGGAGCGCACCACTCCTTTACCATCGCAGACGCCAATGCAAGGACCAAGGGCAGCAACGACGGAGAAGCCGGTCCGCGCGGCGGCACCGCCCCCGAGCGCGTGGCCAGCTCGTAGGACACCCTCGGCGGCGACGCCGACGGCAGCAGGCTCCGGTATTGACTCAAAGGCAGGTTCCGAGGCGGGTCACGGTCGAATGGAGGAGCGACATGGCGCCGAGAGCGTCGCGAGCTGCCACTCGACGTTCAGCACGATCAGCGACCGGCGGCGCGAGATCATGCACGACCGGGAGGTGCTGCTCAAGCAGCTGGGCGAGTCGGAGCGGCAAGAGATCCTGCGGCGCACCGAGGGGCGGTTTGCGGGTGCGTTCAACGAGGTGGCGCAGGCGTTCCGGCAGCTGCAGGCGGACAAGGTGCTGCTGGAGCAGATTGTGCGCGAAAAGACACCGCTGAGCGGGGTGGGCGCGAACAACGAGATGCTGAGCAGCTATCTGTCTACGATGAACGCCAAGCTGGAGCACAGCAACGGCGAGATCCGCAAGCTGCTCGACTTGCTCGAGCAGCAGCGCGAGGTGATCGAGCAGATGCTGGCGACGCATCAGCTGGAGCGGGAGACGTACGAGGAGGATGTGGAGCGGTTAAGGGGGGCGTTGGGCGAGGCGCATGCGGAGGTGGATCGGCAGCAGACGGCGATGGTAAGGCTGAACGAGGAGTTGGCGAGGGCGCATGCGGCGACGGTGCAGGCGAATGCCGAGGCGATGCGGTCGCGCGCGACGCTGGTCGAGGAGGCGCGCAAGCGCGACAAGGTGGTGCAGCTGCTAAGGCATGCCAAGGAGCGGCTGCGCGAGGTCGAGACCGAGACGCTTGCGCCGCAGAGCGAGCGCAGCCACGAGGGTGCGGTGGGTGACGAGGCGGGCGCAGAGAGTGAGGTGGCTATGCTGCGGAGGATGCTCGAGGAGAGGGAGGGCGAGCTTGCGGCGCTGCGCTTGGGACATGCGGACGCGGTGATGCAGGAGGCCGACGACGCGTCGGTGGTCGAAGAGGCCGAGCCG